CGTACATGGGACCCACATGTATGCGGGTGATAGTTTTAAAACGGAAGGGTCACGCAGGCGGTCAGCACATACTCCTGAAGTTCCAGCTTTCTAGCTTTTCGAATTCTCGAGTTGAAAGTGGATGACAGAAAGTGCGAACACAAACAGCCTCTTGCCAATATGCGTTTTTACATTTATATATACATAAGAACGCATAAAAACTAGGAACTTAGAATTTAAGGGAGATGTTACATGCTTATGTGCGACATCGAAAATTTTACGCTCAGCTTTCACAAGTCCCCAAATTTCACGTACAAACTTGTGCACTTTGGCAGAAAATTTCCCAATTCTAGAACCAGACAAGGCGGAAAGCTGAAATTTCAAGAGGGTGTTTCCTGCCCATGTGCAACTCCGGAAATTTTAGACCCAACTTCCACGTACGCTTAAATCTCAAGCATGGAAAAATATAACGTTCCGACGACTTATGCACATGCTGAGCAGTAAAGCAGTAAACATTTTTAACAGTAAATGTCCACTAGACAGAACTACACAAAAATTATGATCGCACCAGCTACCTTGGTATATGGTGCTATTTATTTGTAACATTGTAACTTAGTTGTTATTTGATGACTTCCCAAATTTTTATTTTTTGTTCTATTAATCACTGGAGCGCTCAGCATAGCTTAGTGACTGTGGATCAGTGGTTTGACTTCCCAGCCCATTTATATTTTGATGGCGAATTGGTGTAGGCATATGTGAAGTCAAACAGCTACCATATGGCTTATTTATGAGCAATACTCGAAAGGTGAGTCATCAACAGAATTGCTAGTGAAAAGTTGCTTATAATACTCAGTGCTGCTACTTGCAGCTGCCTCCGCCACTGACAAGGAATTAGACGCAGAAGAGTGCTGACACCGTTCAATTTGCATTTTTCTGTGGAAAAGTGCTTTTTCCAAATTACAAAAAATCTCATCCCAGCAATTTTTCTCAATGATCTTGTACGTTCGTAAAAATCCTGGCTAAATGACTCCTGACAAAAAAGGTGAATTTGTGCTTCGTTTTCCATCGACAAAAACATCATTTTTTTTATTTCACTATCACATACGAAAATCAAAAGTATAGTCGTATAAGAGAGTTTGTTTGATTAAATTTGTAAGCTTGGCGGCTTATGCTTAGTTCGAAGTAAAACGTCGCGAGAAAAAACAGGTATTTTGCAGTGAAACGACAGCTTATCAAAGTATCGAAATGAAGCGGGAAAAATTTGCATTTATTACCTCCTACTGTGAATTTTTTTCGTTTTGCAGTGTATTGTCCAGAGCCAGGATATCTACCACAAGCCATTCGGGAATTGCCACCACTAAATGATGTTGATTATGTGGCCGCGAATTATGCTGACGCACAAGTGAAACCCTATTGTTTGCCGCCATTGAGACATTTGAAGAAACGTGTTGTATACTGGGTAGCTCTTCGATTCTTCGTTTTATTAGCGCCAACTTCTAAGACTGAGAAATTATGCTGTCGGCCACGATCCGTACCAGCTCGAATCACACCTATCAGGACCATCACGTGTGCTAAAATTGGCAAACGAAAATGATAGCTTAGTTAATATCACGAAGCTGTTTGTTTGACTGCGATTGGCACATGCCTTGTAGGAATGCGATTCAGTGGTGCATTTGTGTATTGGTTTTGTTATAGCTTGTGGAATATGATCCACTCTTGGATTCGTCGGATATGACATTCGATGACTGGATTCGCATCGGTAAGGACATTAAGAAGGCATACAACCAGTACGATGGCTTTGTTGTACTTCACGGCACAGATACCTTATCGTACACAGCTTGTGCTTTGTCGTTCATGCTCGAAAATCTCGGCAAAGCAGTTGTTATCACAGGGGCCCAGGTAGGCTGAAGAAGTTTTCTTAGCCGACGCTTGAACAGTCCAGTTTTTGTCCGGTGTGCTTCTTTGCCCAATATATTCAATTTAGCTTGTATGAATGCGTGCGAAAAATAAGCAGCAAAGTACAAGGGACTGCACGAAGTGGGAAATGTTTAGCATAAAATTCTAAATAAAGGAGCAAGATACCGCATAATATTAGTGCGATAATGCAAATTAGTTTATGCTTCATTGTAACTTTTTGCGATGTACACAAAAATACTGTATAGCGGACCTTTTCTGCATGTCTGTCTGCCCATACCACTCAACTCTACAAATACGAAAGTTAGGAAGACGTAATTCTGGGAATATAGCCCCCGGTCGTATAAATGGCTAAAAGAAGTAGCCCTAAATTAGTTATTGTCCTGACCGTGTTCTCAAGCCTAGAGTTTAACTAACTTAGTAGCAGTAGGGAAAAAAATCATACCGGGATATTTTCGTATTAAATCTTTCAAAATTTTCCGTGATATCG